TATAATTTCATAGGTGATTATTTAGAAAAAAATTAAAAATACACATTTCTTCGTCATTTAATTGACAAAACGGCTTCGGCCGCCATTTTGAGAATCGCTTAGGTGATTATCGCGTAATAATCACCTCAACAGCAGCCAATCAGCGTGGAGAATTTTGAATAATCGCCTATGTAATTATACTAATTTCAAATAATGATTGTGTTGTAGAAACATGTTGATCATAAGCTTGATGAAAGGCTGCAGCAAAATGATTCTTATCTTGAAAACTTGTACAGATTATACAGCAAGTACGTATAAGCTAGTTTCCATGCACTTCCTTCCTATTTTGCATGTTCGATCAAACGAGGGACAGGAATGCATATATTACCGCTTGCCTCCCCCGGGGGGTGGGGGAGATTAGGAAAAACGGAAGGATAGAAAAGAGAGTATAGGATGGAAAAGACAGTAGCATGGAGGGGAAATAAAAGTAGTTTTAAAATTACTGGAAATAGAATTTTCAGAAAGTTTAGAGCTTTTCTTCAAACTACGCAATTTTTGCTGTTCTGTTTACAAGAATTTCAATCTGAAAGTGCAGGAAAGCACTACTCTCTGACTGACTACAAAATTTCCTTGGGCAGCAACTTCTCGGAACACCACCACACGGATACCAATGACACAATCAATTCGTCATAATGTTAAATACGTCCAGTCTTAGTCAGGATTGGATATAGTTACTACTGGGGTACTTTTTCCCCACTCCCTGGGGGAGTGAAGACTGACCAGGAGTGGCGAATAATACTCAGGTTTGGAAGCTCTTTTAATCCGTAGTGAGGGTGAGTGCATGCGTATCCAGGGGGTCAATTAATAAAATAAAGGGTTGTTGATATTAAAACTTCCTATTTTTAATGATTTAATACCATGCATGACGATCACAGTATTTTTTTTGGATTTGATGCAACACGACATTTATGACGTATTTTGCAACACTCAAAACTATTATAAACACGAGACCGAGAGATACTGACTTTTTGTTTTAGGACAAAAGAGTTGGGTAAGAAACTATCTGACTACAAACTGGGATCCGACTCGTCATTTCTGCATCGTTTACAGAAAAATGTCTTCAGTAAATATTTGAACGATTATATAAAGTAAGTGATATATAGAAGTAATAGGCTATACCCATTTTGTAGTGATTGTGAGGTTTCAGTGTAGGTATAGACGAACAGTGACGGATAGCAGGCATTGGTGGGTCTACTGGGAAGGGGGGCAGGGGGATGCAAACCCCTCCCAGCATCCCTCTCAGGTGGTGTTCAAACCCCCTTTGGAAAGAGTTCTGCTATTCTATATTAGGTTTAGATTTCGCACTTTTTAAGTTGTGGATATGTGGATATTTATATACTTATTTCATGTAGTTTGATCCTGTAATCCCTCAAGCGATTATTTTTTAGCATGTGCAGACTGTAATACGCTGTAGTATACAATATGTTAAAACTCACGCAATAGCTTTTCCCCGCTGAGTGCAGAGGAAATATAATGCAGTATATACTCAATCTTGGTATAGCTTTACGGTATTTTATTAGTTATCCTACGAGTAGCAACAGGAGCAAATTTAAGTCAGTCCACAGCCTAGGTTACTGATTGTTATATTATTTAGGCGTGAACTGAAGTACTTAACTGAGAAGTGCGAGTTGCTGCTGTCCAGATATTATGAATCCATTGGGCATCAGAAGAGAGAGAAGGTGCATGTTTCCGGGTACGTATAAGTGAAGTACCTGCCAGATTCTTATTATTTTCTCCTATACTTTTACTACTTAAAATTACTCTACTTTAGATTTCTTTACCTTATTTTACTGAACTGACTGATTCAAAACGGATGACAAAAATATTATTATAGTAATTGGCTTCTAAATTCGAATTTTAAGGTTTAACGAATTTGTTCGACTGACTGGATTGACACAGACATCGCAACAGCAATCTGATAACACTAAAGAAACATACCTCAACCAACATGTTGCTGTCAGTCTTTTACTCGAGAATAAAAATTCCTTACGAAGATGTGAGATGGTAGGTGAAGAATCGTCCTTATAGTTATGGGTTACCATAGCATTACAAGTTACGGCGACACTGTTGTTTAGAAACATTTTGACATCTCAATTTATAAATTGACATTTACAGTACTTAAAGTGTGAAGAGAGATTTTATATTATGCTTTATTTTGAGAAACTTTCTATCTTTACTCCTATTAATAACTTTCCTAAAAATATTATCCTAAAAATAACTTTCAATCGTAAATAAACAGGGCATTTGTTTCTCCGGAATGTTCCGATATCCCTTCTTTGTTTTTCAACTGAGGAAAGTCATTCAAACTGGTGTTGAAAGTAGGAAGTCTATTGGTTCAATCACAATACACGTATCTAAGTTACTTATGACGGGATGAGATATAAAGAATAGTCCTGCCCGCGGAATTATTTTTCTGTTCCAGTGCTGGAACCTTCGGGTAAAGCAACGCTTAGAATGTAATAGATTTAATCACAGTGGGCCCACCTTGGAAGTATGACAAAAACACAGTGATATACATATGTAATTGATAATTATAATTGTTAAACTTACTTGGATTGCTCCGAATAACCTTGAAATTTGAACACAAATAAATCTTCCAAACACATTCAACAAAAACGCGAATTCTACACGAAGTATAGACGAAATTTGAGGTTGAATGTAGCGCAGGCGCACGTTGAAGGCAATTCAAGAAAAGGAGAGAGAAGATAAAGGGTTGAAACAAAATTCACGTGATCGTTCGATCTGTTCCACAAGTAGCCTGTTCCATGGGAAATTGCAAAGACACGCTGGCGAAGCAAAGTAAGTAATTTAGGATTAAATAATTATTAAATTTGATATAAAATAGCATATTGGGCCCTACCTACTTGTAAATTTACAATAATAATAAACAAACGAGAACGCCAAACATTGTTGCCGATATTTTCATGACGTCACGAGAACAAGCTACAGTACTTGTGGAACACATCTCGCGAAAACAAATCCAAATGTTCCTTTTTAGTGTGAAGTTTCACTTCACACTATTGTGATGGCTGGCGAATTCACACGAATCAGTCAAACAGTCATAGAGTAAACTTTCCGGGGGGTGTATACGATTTATGTTCGTAGTGATTTATTGTACTTAGTCAGTACTTTGAAGGTTATTTAG